AGGGAGGGAAATGCACGGGACTATGGTGGTGGCAAAGGGGTGATTTGGTGATGGGAAACCCGCGGGGATTACAATCGAGATGGAAAAAAAACTGTGCAAAATGATGTAAAAATAAACTTTGTATTAGTAATAAAAAAAAAAAGATCTCTGCTGTCCACTTTCATGTTCTTGTTTAATGAGGCTTCTCAGACTTATCTCTCCATCTTTTTAAAGTTCTGTTGTTACCCACATATCCTAAAGAAAGCTCTTCATATCTCTGGTTTCAGGATTAGATTAGAGTTGATTTTTGTTCAAAATTTTGTTTTTTTTTCCTTTGTGTCTTTTGGTGACTTACTTTCTGTGGCTTCTGCAATGCAGTAAAATTGTGTTTTATTTATCTAGTGAGTTGTTTTCCTCAGCCTTCTCAGTGAAGTAGGAGATGGATAGTATCTAGTCCATTACAACTAAAATTAAACTTTTTAATATTTTTTAATTTAAAGACAATTGCTAGTACAGCCACACACAAATTATCTTGCCAAATTTCCACTTGTGTTTCATCCAGCTATCTTCAGATAAGACAGCGTCTTTATGACATCAAACTTAAAATTCTGCCAAGTCCATTTTTTATTTGTATTTTATGTTTCTCACAGGATTATGTTGACAAAGAGAAGGCTATTGCCAAAGCATTGGAAGACCTCAGAGCCAACTTTTACTGTGAACTCTGTGATAAGCAATATCAGAAACATCAGGAATTTGACAACCATATCAACTCTTACGATCATGCACACAAGCAGGTGAGGAATTGCCAACAAGGAAGAATATACTTAATTTGTCATCATAACTTGAATTTTATGCATATACCAAAAAAGTACTGACTGTATAGTTTCTTGTGTCTATCAGTTTTTTTTTTTCCCAGATAACATCTGACTGACTTGATTTTTTTCAGTGACAGAAGGCTGGACATAGACTTTCCCCTTCCAAGATTATATGTATAGTGAAGAATTGTGAGCTTCATAAAACTTACATAAAGTTTTTGACCTAGAGTGATTTTAAATTATATTTAAATTGGTAATTCAGCTGAGTGTTACTGGGAACTTTGTTTCACTTTCTCTCTCTTCCTAAATTCATGTTAAACTCAGAACAGTTATCTTGAGCTGTGGTCTTTATCTTCTGCATCAAGAGTTCATGCTTTACTGGTTATTATTTCTATTAGAAAATCATTTTGTTAGTTTTTCTTGGAAGGTAGATACATCTTGAGAAGGAAAAGTAAAATTTAATCGATTTAACTTTAACAAAAACCGATGGTACATGTTGAAAAGTTTGCTGAAAATTGAATTAGGCTTTGCTTGAAGTTTTTGTCCCCTATCATTAAATTATAATAAGTAGAAACTTGTACCTGACTAGTTACTAGCATTAAGGAAGTTGTAGGGCCCTCCCAGGTGGTGCAACGGGTTAGGATACAGCACTGCAAACTAGCCACAGCCGCTTCAGTGCCAAGTTCAGTCCCCCACCCCAGAAGTGAGCCACATGGCAAGGCAGACCTCTTCTGTCTCTCCTGTGTACTTCAACAGTGTACTTCATTGATCTGCCTATTGCTCTACCAATTCTGCTCCCTACTCTGACTCTGGCATATCCTCTCACTGCCCCTCCACCTCTGGCCTGTATGCCAGTTCTGTATGCATAAATAAACAAATCTTAAAAAAAAAAAAGAAGAAGAAGAAAAGAAAGAAAGCGGTAGTAATTCCCTGGGAATTTTTGAAGGGAAAATTTGTTTAAATCTATAGTATAGTTGTAGCTTATTAAAGAATCTTGAGCCATTTGACCTTGGGTGACTTAGCAGAACTTGCTAGGTCTTTGGGGGGTACAATAATTAAGTTGGCTCAACTTGTAAGATTTAGGAATATTGCTGGAATACTCTGTTGAGCTGGACCTGTTGAACAAATATTTTTAACCATTCATCTTCCAACCAGCCGTGAGATTTCAGAGAAATCTTTCAATAAAACTTTGACTAAGTCTCACTTTTACTAACCACAAGGGTAACTTATAAGCTGTTGAGCTTGCAAAAACCTTTTCCATGTTTAGCCACACCTCTCCAGTTTAAGATGTTTCCATGGATAGATTTTTCCAGATAATACTTCAAATTTTTTACAATTTTGAACCTGTTTTAATATATTATCAGCTCTGCTTGGTTTGAAGAAAAAAAATTTAGAAAACATATGGACAAGATATATTGGCAATTATTCCTGCAAAGACTCATCTGTCAAGAAAGAATACTACACTGAATACAGCTTAAACAGCAATTTTTCCAGCTTTTCAGTGTGTATATAATTCAGATTTTCATGTTAAAAACTAACAAACATTTAGCATCTAAATGCATAGCCATTTTTACAAGTTCTTGAGAACTGCTTCAGTTGTCTGATAAATTTTTAAAACCCCAAGGCAACTTTAAGCATCAAAAGAGCATTAGAAAGGCTACAGTTTTGGGCCCTCCATGGTTGCACAACAGGTTAAAGCATAGCAGTATGAAGCTGGCCACAGCCATTTCAGCACGAGTTCAATCCCCTGCCAGGGAGCTGACCCACATGGTGTGCCAGACCTCTCCTGACCTGCCTGCTGCTCCCCTTAGCAGTGTACTTCGTTGATCTTGCCTGTTCTCTGGTGAATCCTTTCACTGCCCCTGCACCTGTACTCTAGTTCTTTATGCATAAATACATAAATCTTTAAAAGAAAAAAAGGCTACAGTTTTAGTTGGTGAAATGACTTAAAATACAGGAAAAGTATAATCAGATTTGAATAATGTATTGATTTGCCTTTTAAGATGGGGGGACTGTGTCATGTAAAATAGATTAACATTATATCCAAGCAAAAATAGAGAACTGATAAAATTCATATTGACAGCATTAGTGTGATGAATGACATTGCTCTTAATTTAAGAGTAGAAGAAAGTTGTTGCACCTCTAGTTCACTTGAACTTGATATGTTTACTTCCTTCTGTCCCCGTGTTGACAGATTTCTTTCACCACTCATTTCTATTGCAAATGAGTGGTTTTTCTACCTGGGGAGATTTTATACTCCAGGTGACACTTGGCAGAATCTGGAGACTATTTTGGTTATCACATCTAGAAGAATGGGTCTACTGGCATCTCTCTAGTGATTAGAGTCCAAGAGTTCTGCTAGTCATCCTGCAATGCGCAGGAAAGCCCCTTGTAACAAAGAATTACCTATCTCATTCATGTAATTGTGAGATTAAGAAACCCTGTTATATTGGGATGGCTGCAAAATTTTCATGTAGGGTGTTGTGATGTCATTTGGCTTTTGGTTGGTACAAATCATTACCATTTTAAGTCTACAGCTATGTTGTAAGCATTACCAAGTGCTCATCTAGACGATGCCAAATACTTCTTTTTTTTAGATTCCATCAAAATGGAAATATAAAATTAAGGATATTTACAAAGAACTCATGGTCTCATAACCATTAATGTAGAATATATCTGTGATTCCCTCGTTTGGGAAAAAGACTTTAGCAGTTATGTTTAATGAATGTACGTGAGCTAATTTCTTCACTTTGAGCAAAAGCCCATCATAGGTAATAAAAAAAAAAAAAGACATAGTATGGTCTATTTTTCGGTTTTAATAGCATGTCTTTTTTTTGTTTGAAGTAATAAGCTTTTTCATCTTTCTTTATACTGGTAGAGTCTTGAAAGAGACTAAAAAATATACTTTAAAAAAGTACACAATTCTGACCTTTGTAGTACAACCTTACCTCCACTTAGAACTTCTAAGGAACGTTAATTGACTTTGGTACAATAACTAAATATAACCCCTTAGAAAGGAGGTTATTTAGGTCCTTTTTTTCTTTTCTCTTTGATGGACATGGACTTACCATACAAATGTACCTACCATTTTCCAAATTTATTGCTCTTAAGATCATACAGACACCATGTCCTGTCTTCCAGGAAGGCACACAGGATTATTATGAATCTGAGATTCATATCTATTCAAACCTATTTTAGTAATCCCTAGTTTGCATCTTCTGTCAAATTTTCACCATTAAAATTTCCCAGAGAAATAATCTATAATATTAGTGATAAACACTAGTTTAGGCAGGTTCTTAAATATATTCTTATCTTAATTAAGCACAAATAGTTTTTCAAGAAGGGGCTACATGGTCACCCTCATGATGGTAATGGTTTTTTTTTAATGTGGTGTTATCATGTGCCTCTCACTGTTCACTAGTTTTCCTCAAGTTTTCCAAGGTAGTTTGTGAAGAAAGTCATTAATATATAAATACTGAGCCCCAACTTGATCTTTAAGTGAAGAAGCTAACTAGATATTTTGACTGATTGGCAGTTAACCCTCATTTATGAAACTTTGAATATATTTTGAGTTCTCCAAAGATACTCATTTCCATTCCTCAAGAAGTAACCAATCTGTAGTTTTCTTTTATCTAAGTTCTGATATGCTTAGTAAGCATTATCATAAGCATATTTCTATACCTACCTCCTTGCCTCTTTATTTTGCATTTCTTAAAAAAAAAAAAAGATCTTCTAATGAAAGTGACAATGGAAACCATTTTCTTTAACTTTTCAGATGCCCTAAAATTCAAACTGCAAAGAACAGTCTCTTTATAGCAGCACAATAATAGAGCCTTACTTCAGCACTTATTTTCTTTCTTGAATGGAGTCTTACTTATTTGTGACTCTTCCAATCTTGCTCTTTTATTTGTGCATAGGGTATATCTTTACCAGCCTTTAGTATGTAAAGAGATTACAAATTACCCATGTTTTTTCCTCTGACTTTCATGGTCTTAGTTTTTTTTCTCCCCTTCAATTTCAGTTGCTTCTCAGTTTTTTAAAGTGAGACTTTATATAATTCAATTTCTGTTTATCTTGAAAAATTCAAGTATCTGTGAACACATTGGGCTTCCATTTCAACATAATAGTTGGCAAAAGCTGAATTGTTGCTGTCTCTTTAGAAAGGAATTTGCTTCTTTTGCAATTAGCTGTGATTGCCACTTCATCTTTTAACAACCTGCATAAATCATTACATTACCTGCCAAACCTCTCCAAATATTTGAGTATGTAACCCAGCGCTGTACCTTTCCCTTCTCACCACACCTGTTCCCACAGCCTCTGGTTGATTGAGGAAGTAGCTCAGTGATAAACTACCTCCTTACTCCTCCTTGGTGTCAAGTCCAAATTCCTTGTAATGAAAACTGTCTAGGGTAGTCAGATCCAGTTATCAGAATCCAATACTGTAAAGCAGCTTTAAGAAATCCCTTTAGGCCCTCCCTGGTGGCGCAGCGGGTTAAAGCACAGCACTGAGAATCAAAAGCCGCTTCCACATGAGTTCGATTCCCGCCTGCCCCGGAGGTGACCACATGGCGTGGCAGACCTCTCCTGACCCGCCCGCTGCTCCCCTCAGCAGTGTACTTCGTTGATCTGCCTGTTCTGTTCCCCACTCTGTCTCTGGTGAAGCCTCTCGCCGCCCCTGAGCCTCTGGCCTGTACCCCAGTTCTGTATGCACAAATAAATAAATCTTTAAAAAAAAAAAAAAAGAAATCCCTTTAACTTGTAGGAAAAAAATAAAAATCTTTGTCAAAGGAAACTTAATCAGCTTTCCTCTCTTTCTACTAAAGTAACTTCAATATGAAACCCCTGTACTTTTATTTTTCAAAAGATTTTTAATTTTTTTATAGTCATGTAAGTACCAAGGCTTGTTTAAGTTATAAAAGTGCAAGTGGTTTCTTGAGGTTTAAATGATTGAACTAATTCTAGCAGCCATCTCTATTCTA